AAAGTTTTAATTGTCGTTTTTGAAACCTTTTTGCCTTGCCGTTGTTTGGTACCTCTTCAGTCTCATTGATGCGAGAAATTTAGACTAGTTGTTGTTCATCAACCACTTCTTGCTCGAAGAATTTTTTACGAAAAAATTTTTTTTGCCTCTTCCTTTGTTCGTCTAAAAATTTGGTCTACAAAAATAGAATCACACATGCCGCCTTCGCGGGGCGTTTTGCCTAATTGGCGGAACCGTTCTATTAGTCAAAAATGAAAAATTCTATTTTCGCGATTTTTTTTTATTTTGAAGCAATTCATTTTTATCCGAGAACTGTATCAGCTTTGTGATTTCAATTAGTTGATAAATGTTTCTTTTCAGTAAAAACTTGAACCGATTTTAAATTGTTAATCAAAATTCGACGTTGAAGGATCGGCAAATCGGAAAGTGGTGTAATTGAACGTTGTCACTCTGGCAACCCATCTGGTTAATCTCAATTGGTATATGCGAGTCTTTCAACTTTTGATTAGGGTGAAATAAATGGATTTATGATTGGTACGAATTTGAAGTTTGTTGCCCAACACGTATTTCCAAAATAAATGACATGCCCATACTACTGCTATATTCTATGTAAACGAGGGGAAAATTCACAATATCTTTAGGCCGGTCTCTCTCGCTAGTTCACACCGCCGCCATATGTTTCCTTTAATACTGGGGTCAGTAAGGCGACTAAATCCCAGTATTGTTTACAATCCCAAAAGGGTTGAGTTGGTGGTTGGCCGCTCTGTACCTTATTTTGTTGCTCGCCCCGTGATTCGTGCTCTTTCGACTGTATCTCGACCGTCAATCAATAATCGATCGCAACAACAATTACAATAATAAGAATGAATTAGGAAATGAATATAACCAAATACAGAGTAGCCTATAATTGGCTGGAATATAAATTAATCGTTCAATTAAAGAAAAGGGTCTGCGATTTATATTAACTAACTAACTGCATTCAACATTTACTTATTTTCCAACCCTAATTATCTTCAGAGCTATCTTTTTTGAACTACACGTTAATCCCTGAAGTACTTTAGAAAGAAAAAAATCACCTCACCCGATAAATTAACAACTTTCACGAAGTTGTTCCTCTAAGTCTTTTTGTAACTATTTCCAAACGACTTACTTAATCTTCGTCCACTTTTGTTCTCTGTTTACTTTGAGAATCAAGCGACTACCCTAGCTTGTAGCCCAGATTGTTCTCTAACTAACGGAGAACCAACTACTCTTAATAGTAGCTCACTCTGTTCTGCTTAAGGATAAGCTGCTTGCTATTCTCTATAATATTTGTCTATTTGAGTTTTAGTTATAGTTAGAGTTTTGACAGTCCGTATAAGTTTTAACATTTACTGATGTGCCTCCTACGCAGCGTTTCAGTTGTTAAGCCCAGCATGATCACAATAATTTAAATGCCAATTTCAAAATGCCAATCAAAGCTATGCTAAACAAATAACAAATGCAACTTCAACTTAATCCAAGCTATGTTTACATATCAAAAGACCCAAGGACTTTATTTAATTTTCCCGTATCTTTTCCCTTTTTCCAAGCCTAGGATAAATTCCTAGTGAACTTGATTTCCCGTTCATCATAATCCAAAAATTCACATACATAACCTATTGAAATTTAAACCTAATCGACCTTCAGGGTAAGCCGTTCCCTTAACCGGGGTCCAGTTGAGACACTTAAACAATCCCCAGAAGCCAATGGAATATCCTGTACATTCCTAACGTTTAGACTAATTATTTCCCCATTCTCTCATTTATATTGCCAAATTAATATGCGACTACTTTTCTGTGCCATTGACGCATTTCTATTTATAGTTCTTTCACCAAGTCAAATTGAACCAAATGTTTGTTTGGCTAACTCCTAATAATTCCAGCAATATATCATTATACATTAAGCCAAGATATTCCATCAATTTCGGAGAAATGCCTAAACAATTCCTCATGCATGCAAATCGCTAATCCCGGATCCATCAAATAGTCATTTAACCTCCCTAATTACAAAATACATGATTTGGGCTATTTTCCGGTGCTATATCTAAGGGTTTTGGGGCTAAAAACGTATAAGGTCAAATAAAAGTTATCACGGGGTCACCCGGGGTCAAATCTCCCATAATCGGTTTCAGGTCACATTAGGGTCATACCTACCAAGTTTCATCCATATCCGACAAATACTTCCCGAATTATCCCATTTTTAAGGTCCATTATCACTTTTCCTGGAAAAGGTCAATTAGCACCGGAAAGGTCAACTGGGAACTAAGACTTACAGGGATCCTTTTTAATGGGGCGGGTCCTACCACACATAAGTACCCTAAAATCAATATGCCCTCGTGCATTATTTTTCATAATTTGCCCATTAACACCTCCAGGGGGTGATTCTACCAAGTGCTAATAGCCCCTGCCCTTATCACCCAATCGGTCATTATCCTAACATGCGATAGACCATGTCCTTATCTATCATCCCTCAAAATTTCAGCTCCCTAGGGTCATTGGGAGTTGAGAAATAGCCTCCGGAAGTCGGGTGGGGGTTTGTTTGTTTGGGGCATAAATCGGGCCGGGGTGACCTTGGGGTTCCGAAACTTCAAACTTAAGCTTCCTTCGCCTAGGGCTACCACATACATAAAAATGAGCTCAATCGGACCAGTAGCTAAGAATTTCCGGTGGGGCCATTTGCACTTCCGGGAACCGTTATCACTCGGCCCCGGGGGGTCGGGCGGGTCCGGCCCTTTGCATGCCCCGGGCAAATCATCTCTAGTATCACTCCACTAAATTTCATAAAGTTCGCCCCGGTAGCTCCCGAGTTGGGGCAAGTTACTGGGAGCTATTTCATTGCCTATTTTCACTAAGGAGGGGGATTAATTCCATGAACTTAAGCAAATACAAGTTTAATTCAATCTTAACTTAATGACGAATCAGCCTTACGCTCAGGTTACTATAGCATGTAATACAGTAGAATCACCAATTCTACAGTCTTCCCTTCTAGTCTATTATTCTCCCGAATAATGCTAAAAAGTACCTCTTAACAAGGCCTAATGATAAGTTACATAACTCTTCGATTCGCCGTGCTCACTAACACTTAGTCGTTTTCCCTCCCTTTAAAAATTTACCCTTAAAACCTCGCGGACCCAACAATTAGTCCCCGTTAAATAAAAAATGATATAGCACAAAGAGTAATCTAAGAGGGGACGTAACTGAATTAATTTTACTCTTCATGGTACGATCCAACCCTTTCACATTCATAATCATCACTATCAATTGTCTGCACAACAGTTCAGGTGGGATCGCACTCAATGTAACTAAGCACCAACTAATGAGATTAAAAAAAGAGACAGTTTACTATTGTAAGTTTTAACTCACAAACTCGTCGATTCCAAACCGTACAGGTGGTCTCCTTACTCGAGTTGGTCGACCGCCATCATCTGCAGTTCCCATTTCTATCACCGGTTCGGCAGCCATCACCTCGTCAGATGGTCTGTCGTCCGCCTTACAGGGTTGATTCGATGGCTCCTCTTCCCTTCTGGCCTCCAGCTCCGTCGCATCGTATGCCTCAATCGCATCTTCTCCACTCCTCGGCACTTCTCGCATCATTCATGGTGGATCAGCGAAGTGTTCGGGCATCACCCGAATTTGCACATTTGTCCCGGGCGGATTAAATTGTGGCTTGACTGCTCGATCTCTCACAGGCAACAATCTCACTGCGACATCTCGTGGGCCTGGATCATGGCTAAAACCCTCCCCGTTGTTCGCCGACAACAACTCATCTTCATCATACATCGGGTCATCGAAGAAGTTAACCGACCGATAGGGCGTCTGTCACTTGCTGCTTGTAGCTTCATCTGACTGTGCCGTCTCTTTTTTGAATCGCTTCAGCATGTTGAAGTGCAATAACTTGACTTTGCTAGGAGTTGACTCCTTTGCCATCTTGTAGTTCACTTCAGACATTCTCGCCAGTACAACATAAGGTCCTCCCCATGGATCAAAGTGCTTCCTCGACTTGAAATTTTCCTTCGCCCACACCCAGATTTTATCTCCAGCTGCGTATGGTTCTCCTTGAACTTTCTTCCAGTACTGGTCCTTCTGTCGTCGTTGATCCATCCCAACGATTTCTCTGGCACTGCTATGAGCATCTCAGAAGAGCTCATCTAGTTCCTCTGCAAAACCATCCTCGTCAGCACTTCGTCGTGAGGTTTCGCGTAGAACAGTTCAATGGGGTACTGGCATTCCTGGCCATAAATCAGACTGAATGGCGTCGCTCCCGTCGTCCGATGAATAGTCGTGTTGTTTACAAAACTCAAATACGGCAACATTGTATCCCACGTCTTTGGGTTCTCCGCACAGTACTTTGAAATCACCTTCGTCATCTTATCGTTATATCGCCCTGTCAGCTCTCTACCTTCGGGTTTGTATGGCAAAGTCGGAGTTACGTCAATTGCCAGGAGTCGGCACATCTCCTTGATCAGTTTACTGCCAAAGACTTTCCCCTGGTCCGTACGCAAAGCATTGGGAGTTCCAAACTTCAGCACCCTGTGTTCCACAATTAACTAAGCCACGTCTGATGCATCTGTTGATACAAGAGGCACTGCAATCGCATACATTGTGAACATGTCCGTCATCACCAATACATGCTTCGCTCTTGTCCGCGTCACCATCGTCATTGGACCCAATATGTCCACTGCCATCGTACTGAATCTGATCAATTGGGGCCTGAACCGCAGCTCGCTTCCTTTTCCCACTGGCACTCTGTGCTGCTTGTCTTAAGCACCACTGGACTTTCCTTTCGACATCCGTCCTCATCGTCGGCCACCAATATCGTCGTCGTACCTTCGCCAACATCTTCTCGGTTGCAAGCTGTCCCCCTCTGGTCTCCATTGAATCAAACTGTCCGAGGATTTCCTTTCGTCCTGCTGCTGGAACAACCGTCAAAAGTGTCGGCTTCGACCCATCTCTCTGGAACCATTTCTTGTAAAGTATTCCTCAACGAATACTCAACTCATCCCATCTTGACCAGTAGGCCAGTGCCTCAGGTCCGTACTGAATTGCCTGCTCCTTCGGAATAAGTTTCGTTCCCAATGAAGGCATATCGTTCATTTCATCTGCTGTTCCTGTCCAGTAGAATACTTGCGCAATCACTTCGTCTTCTTCCTGCATTGTCGCAATCTCTTCGTTTTTTTGTTCCCATCGAATCGCGTCGCTGTCGACTACTTCGTCGACTACTTGTTTGTAGTATACTTCTGTTCCGCTGCATTTTTTGGAAAAGGTCAAGGCGATTGGTTCCCAAAATCCTGGTTCACTTTTTGTTAACACGGCAGCCAAAAACCTGTGACTACTACCTAATTTTACTCGCAAATTTTTTTCAGGATTTATTGTTATGTTGTGAAGATATTCGCGATCAATTATAGTAACTTTTTAAACGCTACTTCTTCCTAGGTTTCCCCCTCGCGAATTTCAGTTTGATGTTCAATTTCATAGATGGTCTGAATGATTCAGTAGCCATTTGTAAATTTCGAAAAAAAATTGGGAGAGATAATTAAATACTTCCATGAAAGATCATACTTGCTTTAATGTCTTACGAGGTAATAAATTTAGCTCTTCTTCCAATTTTGAGAATTTTGGCATCACTTCAATTAAATCAATCTTGAATCCTAGCCATGGTAGATAATTTTTGAAAATTGCATTTGCTCAGTTTTGCTGCAACGCTTTATTGTGCTCTTCGATCTGCAGAGTCTGTTAAAAATTGCTTTTTATTTCCTGACAAAAATTCCGGCTAGTTCTTTCAAACTTCAAGTTTCAATTTTTCTTCTGGCTTGTTGACTCCAACCACAGTACGGGGAGTCTTGAAATGCCTTTTAACAGTCTGGTTGCAAATCTAGAAAACAACGTGTTCTGTTTACTGATAACAGGAATTTGTCACCTTCCTTATACTAGCTATTGGTGTTTTTATGTTTTTATCAACGTACCAAATAAACTTATTGGCTTCTGGGTGCGTTGGTGACAATTGGCTTCTCCTGGATAGACAACAACTTCGCATTACGGTCTGTGTGATTTAACCTGTCTGTCATTTTCTTGTTCACAAAAGTAGCAGGGCTTCCACATTTAAAAATTGCGCTAAATACTGAATTCTTTGATTCGCTGTTTATTCTCAAAATCTGGGCTCCGCAAATTGCTGCGCTTTGAACTTCTACGCTTTTAATTGAACAATCTTCTAAGGGGATTTCTTCAATTTTGACGACTGAATACTCATGTTTGCTGTAATAGTCGATAAAATATATTGTCTCTCCGTCTTCTTTGTCTGACATGACATTATCCACATCCGTTCTTGCTGAGTGGTAGCAATTTTCAAAGTTTCCTTTTTTCTAGATCGATTGTAATCAGCGTTTCGAGCTGCACACTTGTCCTTACATTCACGTCTGAATTTTTTGCCTCAAAATATGCAAAGTTCCTAATTTCCGATCTGGACATTAAGAGTTTCTGCGGTTCTGATTTCTGGTGGTGCCAAGGGCGGCTCGGTTCACTTTCTTCTGAACATTGCTTTTCGACTGAACTGACATGGAAGGATTTTGCTTCTATTCGAATAAATTTGGCTTGAGTTTTCATTTCCATAAACGTTTTTTTTTCTTGAGGATGTTGGCCGTTGTGCATCTTTTTTCAGGTAACAGAGCTGTTTTTTGTGTTTTCTGCCGTGGCTTTGACTAAAAAAACCACATTTGAAATTTTTTATGAAAGTCATCCCCCCACACGCCATATAAAGTACAAAAGGATAGATTTCGCTACTTGTAACAAATCAATTAATGCAAATAAGCTTCGTTAAACCAATTTGGAACGATTTCTAAGACGGATTAAATCTCGCTTACGAGTTAATAGCGCGAAATATATCGCGCGTTAATTGGCTAAAATGGCAATCTTTAAACCCCAGTAACTTTATGAAAAATGATCACAGGTGAAATATCTTTTCAAAATTGAGCTCAGGACAACAATAGCTTTCGAATGATATTAAAAAAATCCGTCAAAAATAGCTAGATAAAAAGTCGAAATTTGTCTGAAGAAAAAAACCCACCCCAAGCACAAATATTCCGTTACTTTCGTATCGAAAGTTGGAACAATAACGTAACAAAATGATTTTATACTCCAACTTTAATTAAAATGAAGTCATTAAAGTAATCCTAGAAGTGTAGGCTTGAACAAAACAAGATAATGTGATCAATTTGCTTAGATCAAACATAAAAAAAACTGATAATTTCGAAAAAAGAATCATTTTAAAACATCAAGTAAGAAAATGGATGTCATTAAAGCTCTTTGAAATTCTACAACAAACTATTTTTTGAAATTTATTTGATAAGTTTATTCTTATTCAAAAAAGTTATATCAATAGGTAAAATTTTCACTTCGATTTGAAATCTGACAGTAAATTCCGTTTTAAACTTTTTCAATCACTTTTTTGTGACCTTTAGACTTTCAATGTTCGTTGGTTGAAATTGCCTTCCTTTTAACAAAAAAAACTAGACTAAAACACCAATCAAAAATCATGATGAAAAAAAATTTGAGCCTGAACAAATTTAGAAACATCACGATCTTTACGAGAAGACTAGTCAAAAATAGTTTTTGATGAATGAGAACATTCAGCTTTCATGAGATTTTGGTTGATAAGATCAATTTTTAATTGTTAAAAAATGAGTTGTCAAAAGAATTATTAAGCCCAATTAGCTTATTGCCTCAATGCAATATGGAACGATTGTGTAGTGCGCGGTATTTGGCCACTTAAAAATTTCACGTTGCATTTTCAGCATCGAATTTTAAAGCAAGCATTATAGATAGACTCGTGGTCCTTTAATACAGTGAGCAGACTCTTCTGGAAATTGGTCTCTGAACATGAAAACAATCCCGAGTATAAATATTTCTCACTTTCTTAGAAAGACTGAACACTAAAAAAGTATGAAAATTGTATCAAGAATAAACTCATTTTCAAAATTTCTAAAATCAAGAAAATTTTTGTAGTTACAGTTGTGAAACTCTTGAGCAGCTAATTGATGTTTTTCAAAATTTCAAAACTTCATTCGAAAAAGAGTTTGAAAATGTTTTTGGCTTATGTGCAGAAAAAAAAACAGCGAAGAAAGCCGGCTAACTATAAAAAGAGACAAGACTGCTCGTATCAGGGCAAAGCCCTGAAAATTCCGACTGCTTTTTAAGGTCTATGGAGCATTAATAAGATGAAAAATTTCAAAGTAATAAACATAAAAAAAAATTTGAAAAAAAATTTTGAGATTTTTTGTAAAAAGATCGGCTCTTTTTCCTTTCCCCCCCCCACCTCACTCAAACATGAATTTTAAGGTCTAACGAGTGGTTTTACAAGGTTAATTATGGAGACTAAATAAGTTTGTCATGGCCTAATCAGTCTACATGCCAATTTTTATGACAATCGGACAAACTGAACAGTAACTTTAAATATAAAAATTTGTAGGTGGGGGGGGGGTAAGGAAAAAGAGCCAAAACATCCCCCCACACGTCATATTAAGTACAAAGTGATAGGTTCTGCTTCTATTAACAAATCAATTATGGCAAATAAGCTTCTTTCAACCAATTTGGAACGATTTCTAAGACGGATTAAATCTCGCTTACGCGTTAATAGCGCGAAATTTATCGCGCGTTAATTGTCCCAAATTGGCCAAAATGGCAATCTTTAAACCCCCATAACTTTACGAAAAATGATCACAGGTGATATATCTTGTCAAATTCAAGCTCAGGACAACAATAGCTCTCGAATGATATTTTAAAAAATCCGTCAAAAACGGCTAGTTGAAAAGCCGAAATTTTTCTGAAGAAAAAACCCACCCCGAGCACAAATATTCCGTTACTTTCGTATCAAAAGTCGGAACAATAAAGGCATAAGTTAATCAGCTAACTATGGCGCATGATTACAGTTTTTGGAAAATCAAAAAAAAACTTTTCTAAACTTTTTGTGCTTTTAGAACCGTTGGCAATATTTAACTACATTCCCAATTGTCTCAGATTCACATGTGTATAGAAAATTCAAAGTGGGGGGTTAAGATTTTGAACCAGGGAAAATATTTAACATAAATGAAGTTCCATTTTCTCCTGCGCCAAAACGTCTTCTTAATTTTTCTCCATGTCAATTTATTAAGACCAAGGCAAATCTTAATTAAATAAAGTAGTCAGTGAGTTCCGTTTTTGTCTGGATCAAAACTCAATTATTTTAATGAGGTTAGTTTAAAAAATTTTCTTTAATTTTAATTGTTATTCTTTTGTCCCCTTTATTAATTTCAACTATTTTAATTTTTTTAAATTTATTTTTGCTAATAACAATTTTTTGCTTTCACCAAAATTATTATCATTTTTATGAATAGCTGCGTCAACCAGTAACGGGTTTAAGGAGAGGGGGCGGCTTTTTGTACTAGTTGGAGAAACCCAATTTTGGCTGATTGACCCTAAAGTTTTTAAGGCGCTTTTGTTTGTCATCTGTATAAAAATCTTCGTTTTTGGTTTTTCGTTTGCATGCAAGAAAAGCAATAGTGGACCCGCAAAATTGAGTAGTTTGGGTGATCGCAAACCAATTGTGTTGTTTTGATAAATACTTTTTGATTGCTATCCTGACCAGTTTGAAGCAATTAGTTCGTGTGGTGCTTAGATTATTCCGTATTTGTAACATGTTGCTTAAATATTAGTTGTGATTGGCAACAAAAGTTAAGTGTGTCAAGACAGGTGCATTGAGGCTCAGTTGATTGATTGGATGTCCCCCCGATCAGTGGTACATTCTTCAACACAAGCAGATACTACATCTGGAGGACGAGCACAAGCTGGAAAAAGTAAAATTAAAGAAAAAATATCTTCTCACACTTCCCCTTAACCGACTATTACTCCTTTATGTTGATGCAATATTGAAACTTTTTTGGAGATAAAAACTACAGATTTTTCTCGCGTAAATAACTTTAAGTTTTAAAGATGACCTGATTTTGCATCGGGGAGTAGATCAAATTTTCTCCGTTCTTTCGTGTAGTCCTTGTAGATACACGCTGGAACTGAGGCGTCATTTTTCAGCACTTTATTCTCCTCCGAGTAACACTTTTTCACTATCTTCAGAATTCCAGATGAATCTTTTGCTGAAATCATGTTTGATATACTTTCTCAGCGAAAAAAGTTAGTTTTGTAATTGTTACCGATAAGAGTTCTTAGCTAAACAATATCCAATTAATCAATTTGTCTCCTTTATTTGTGCTCAAAACTTTTTCAGTTACTTTCCAAGTTAACAGCGAAAACCAAATGATGACCTTGAACGAGACATCAGAAAATCTCGAGTGATTCCTGACAATTTTCTAAATTTCGACTGAAATTGAAAATCCATTTCATCTATCATTAAAAGCTTTCACTTGTTGATTAATAAGCCATCCGTTAGAACGTTAGGAGTAATATCAATTTTTGTTTAGGAATTGATAATGCTCGAATTCCATTGCACGAACTCAATTGAGCGTTCATGGCATAGGCTAACTGTTGGCAGATTGCATGTTGAGCAGGAGTTTGAAGTGGTCCACCTGCAGCAGAATTGACCTGTAGTTGATGTTCGCACCCTGGGCCAATTTGGACTTGACTGCCCACCTGAGCAAACAAACACAAAACTGTTTTTCAACAAAGTTTTGTTCCAACCTCGTCAATGGAAGTGACTTGATGGAACTTTTACCGTTTTGTTCCAGCCAATTTCTACAGCTTCAAATAAAACACGTGTGGAGTCAAGTGTGGTATCATATTAAAGCCCTAATGATCTTCATTGGGTTTCTAACAAATATTGAAAGGGTTGTCTCAGTGTCGAGAAAAACTTGTCTGATTTTTTTTCTTCATTTTTTGAGACGAAATTAGACGAAAAGTTGATCAAAGGCCCGAACCCTAAAGCTTGCTTCGGCTTCAATTTTGACGTGATTTGAACTATATTTAGACCACCTTTCTGTTAATTTTAGGTCGCCCAAATGGATTTTACTCGCTCTCCTAAAACCCTAAATAGACGCTGTTCTGGCCAAAATTTCTGCGCCGCGGGAAAATTTTTGCAAAAAACAGACCAAAAAGCCGTTTTTGGGCACTCTTTGGAAAATTTTGACAAAAAAATCGCGCTTTTTGGCGCGCGTTCCCCCTCAAAGCTAGTATAAACTGGCGCCAAAGGCGCCTTTAGAAAAATTTTAAGGTCGGTCGGCCGAAAATGGATTTCTTAAAAAGTACCAAAGGGGGGACCCTTTGGGTCGGCAGGGGGTCGAATCTCTGAGGGGGGGGGGGGTCTTCTTTAAATCCGCCCCTTGATCCTTGTTATCAGGGGCGGATTTAGGGGAGGGGGGGCGGGGGGCTGACGCTTTTCCACTCAGTGGAACCTGATCTAAACTACATTTTATGATTGGATAAATTAGATATTTTACCAATGTAAAGTATTTAATATTAACCAATCATGATCCATCTGACTAACAATCCACTTATTTATAAGTGCTGAAATTACTTGTAATTTCAGCACCAGAGAGATTTGAATTTAACTTAGAAATTAGTTGGACTCTCCCGAGAACTTCAGCAGCCGCAATAAACCAGTATACCCTAGATCTATTGAGCCTAGCAGAGACTAGTTAAACAACCTGAGACTAGATAAGTATAAGAGTAAGATTAGGATCGGTATTAGACTAAGAAGTTGCACGAATCTATCCGGCCGAAAATAAGATAGCGTGACGAGCAGACGGTGTACCCTATCCGAAATTACTCTATGAGTTAACCACATCGGTCCTAACTCATCTGGTGCGACCATAAGTCTCGAACAAGACCTTAGTAGCTTAGAATTAACCAATAATAGATTAGAAATTAGACAAAACATTTACAAAATGTTATACGATGATAATTTAATCGAAATGTCTCTACGACTCAATAGATCAGAGCCAATATTCCGAACGATAACAGAACTACCCGGAATTGGAAGAAGACCTCGAACCAGAGACGACATACGACAAAGTAGAAACTTACCATATAGTTATATGATAGTTCGGCAAAAGCCAACACAAACTTTTGTATTTAGAATTTTATTAGCAATGAATTTAGATTTTCATTTGCAAACATAAAATCTTGAAGTCAATCTTCATAATCATTTCAGGCGCTAAACAAAATTATTAATATACAATAACGATTGATAAAAAGATCTCAGATCGTTTTCCTAAATTCTGCAGTAATATACAAAACATGTTTGAAAAATATTTATTGAAAAATCAAAATAAAAATTAGTAGCATGACAATAAACGGTTAGTAATCATAAATCATCCTGTTGTTCCAGCTTCATCACCTAAACATAACAGCATTCATAAACTCACTAATATCATAAAAACACTAAATCTTTTCTTTACACAAATTTAAATCATTTTAAACTTAAATTCACTTAATTTTAAAACCAGATCATCAAGGCTTATCCTTGGATCTTAAATCATTTTCTATTTAATTAAATTTAAAACTTGATCATCAAGGCCTATCCTTGGATCAAAAAGAACAATTTTGTTCTCCCCACCCACTTAGCTAGTGTCTAACGACCTCAAACGTCGATTCACTATCCAACCCTTTCTACAAACCCAGGACTAATAGAAATTTTTGAACAAAACGAATCATTCAAATTAGGATAAACAGTGAAGAACTTCGGTTATTCATCCTTCACTTGATCCCCCCTCTTACCAGACCCAGGATAAATCTTAGACTTAGTAAGTTTAAAATAGTATCTAACGAACTACTCGCGTTCTAATTATACCTGAACCTTGTGGATCGATTTACTATTCTCCAACCCTTGAACACAATCACTACCCTTAAGTAAGATTAAGTAAGTTAACACCTTAGCTTATACTAGCCACGAGAAAGTAAAAAATCATTCTTTGGAATCGATATACTTTTCTCTCCAACCCTGAACAAATAGACCCAGGTTAAGCTAACCAAAAAATCGTAAGGACTAACAGCCTAAGAAAATAAAAATCATTTAACAACCTTTTGCATCCGTCATCCTAAACCTTATGTCATTTAAAAACCTAGGAAATAAACAAACAATCGTTTTACACAATTGTGAGATAGATAACAAAAAATACGACCTTGTAATCACACCTCATACACAAACAGTTGGATATATTAGAACAAAACGACAAACACTAAAAAGAAAAATAATAACCAAACAAAGACAAATAACACGAAAAAGATTTTCCAAAAACCGAAACGCATTTTCAGAATCAGAAACCAGCAGTTTAGACGAACTTTATAAATTAAAAGAATCAATAGATAAAAATTGCCCAATTCACGATCAATTATATTTTTCCGACTCAGAAACAACTTCAAATTCATCAAAAAGAGGAAAAAGAAGAATAAAAAAGCAATATAAACACAAACCAGTACACTTATACAATTGGAATCAACCAATTAGACACATCGATAATTACATATTAACAGTCATCAAACGAAAAAATGAGCTCAACGCACACCCCAGGTGAAGAAAGTCCAGATGATGATGATATCTTCCCCTTCATTGTAGATGCAACCAATGATAGAGGACAGCATATATTTTGCAAGAATTTACTCTTAAATTTGTTTGAACCCGGAATCAGCCCATGTAAAACAGAGTTCCCAGATGTAAAAATCAAAAGACAAATTATCGATCACTATCTGAAAGATATATGTAACTTAACACAACAATACGGAATCTACTCCATAGAATTCAGCTCACCAAACCAGAATCACAGCAAATATGTAATTCAAACAGACGACCTTGATTTAGAATTTTCAAAAGTATTCTCAGAATATATAAAAAGCATACAATATCATAACTCACAAAGAGCAAACTCCATATTCACCAATGAAGTTTTTGCAATAATATATAGTTATATCTCGATATTAGAAAACGAAATCCCAATCCCAAATGTCTCACCGACAGAAACATCTAAACATATAAGAGTACGACATGAAATCACACTACTCTCTAGTTTTCTAAATATAATTCAAGAAAATTTCACTAAAGATGAAGTTTCACCACATACAAAACATGACTTACAAAAAATTTTGGCATGGTTTATAATAGATTATTTCACACATAATATTGATTTAATTTCACAAGCAAGAAAAAATTTTAGACCTCAAAACTCAAACGATGATACTGCCATCACAGAACAGTCAGACTATGTTTGGGACCCCGAATGGTCTCATCCCGCATTCATAAACTTCCCACAATCAATCTCAAGTCAAGCAATAAGTACGATATCTTATGTAAGAGATTATGTAAGAGTAATACCATTAACCATTGATGCAACACCATTAAACTATAATACATTTTTACCTGATATGCAAAATAATAGTTTAAACTCCACAGTCATACACAATGAAAACCTCAATGGAACTAGGAATCTCACTCAACAAGATATCCAGACACCATCACACTTCATAAATGAAGAAATCGTACACACAACAACTACACAACAAAGCATTTCACCGATACGTCCAAATTTAACAACACCAAGAAATACAAACCCTTCACAAACACAGGTAACCTTGCAATCAACCGTTAAACCTTCGGTTGCCCCAAAATATTCACACATGGATTATCAAACATACAGACCCACGACAATACCGTCAAAAACACGTAAAACGTTCACTAGAAACAATTTTGCAGAACATAATTATAATTACACACATCCATCAAAAACAAACTATCCCCCACGAAAAAATACTAATAATCATATAAGACCTCGAAACTGGGATAACCCAATGGCATCAACCAATTCAGTAAATTTTCAAACAAATTCACATCCTCCACAGGATCGTAGAGAAAATTATCCATTTTTTCAACAAAATAAGAATAAAAAACAAACATCTTATCAAATGGATTACTTATCCTCAGATGATGATTTTTTACAACCAGATATATTTGCACCATATAATCAAGAATATCGTGGACAAGGAGTACAGAAACCACATACAAATCATAGAATTTTTTCTCCACAACCGATAGATACACAAAATCAACAACCAATCCAAACACAAAACCCAATTAATACACAATCTTTTCAACAACAAAACCCAATGATCGCACACTCGTATCAACCAACACAAATGCAAAATGAAATACCACTCCCATATTATCTTCAACAACACGAAATAACAAGAAATCAACTTTCAAATTTTTCTCAAATGCCAAATGCAGCAGAATCATTACAAATGACAATGAATCCATACCTTATGGGTGGATCATCAATAACATCAAACAAACCTTTAATGGTATTTACAGGAACAGACCCTGAATATTCTGTAGAAGATTATTTAAATGCAGTAACAGCAAATTTGATTTTAAATATAGGACCTGAACCAATTAATACGCCACTACATCAAAACTGGATACATCGACGCACAGCGTTGATACAGACAACCTTAGATGGCGCAGCCCAAAAATGGTTTTCAGTATTGCCTATAGAAATAAAATCAAATTGGAAAAGGTTTACACAAGAATTTTCAAAAATGTTTGACTCCGAAAGAAACAAACAACAACAAAGAGTTTTATGTAATGAAATTCGCAGATTACCAAATGAAACCATCAAGCAATTAGCAGTACGCATCGAAACACT